TRARRWARRRAWGAAATCCGGTARCCTTACCGGTACGTAGGCCCCTTTCTCGGTTAKYGATATTCTCCTTGCTTCAATAAGTCTTTCTTTCTCTTTGTTAACTTGAACCACGGCTGACTGAGGAAGTGCTCTCARTACYTGYYTWATACCATCTCCWCWTTCTACAGATGCCTTGATTTCATTATAAGCAGTTTCATAATCTCTGGCGTAATCCCTAATTTGGACTACTTGWWGCCTGAAAGCTTCCCATTWCATTAATGGAGCGAATAACTTATTTCTTCCAAATCTGTCATATCCTTCCTTGTTGAAAAAGGCYAACCTGTGCTTTGCAACTGAAAAAGGATCACGGACTAAGTACTATTTTCCAATGACTTTATTTAGGAGTATCATTTTTGAAATGGCCATACTTAAGGATATCTTTTTTTTTTAATGACTCTACTTAAGAGTATCTTATTTTCAAATGACCTTATTTAAAAGGGTCTCATTTTTTGAAWTGATCTTAACGCCTGCAACCGAATAAGAACTTACATCTGTGGGACAATAAAACAAGGGATCCAAGTTTCCAAGAAAATATTTAGCATCAAAATATTATTTAAAAAATATCTTGTTTCGTTCCTGAGTTGAAGCCGCTATGTTTGAGTTTATGGCAAAATGAAAAATAAAAACCCTTACTGACTATTACAGTGACTAACGACTTACATTTCTTAAGGCTCTCTGCATCTTCTCTCCCTGCTGCCAATCGAACGACAAATTGAAACACTGATCTTGCCACTCCAAGATCATTCGCCCAGACACGGTCTTCGGCCAATCTTGTCATGAGTTTGATTAAAGCCAATGGATATCTTCTTCTCGCTTTCTTAATTAGTTTCTTTTGACGAAGATAAGAACTTTCAACTTCGCCGCCTGAGCCTGCCTCAGCCAAGCCTAAATTTAAAGGGATCAAAAGAGGACACTATCATCATTCTGAATTGTTGAAGAGCCCGTTCCAACAAGATGTCTTGATAACAAATTAAAATAAAACTTCTTTGTAGAATGACTTTAAAATTATTTTACCTTGTCCGTTTTGCCCTTCACTCCCCGTGTCTCCTCGGGGTCCTTGACCTAATGCTCCGTTGGTGTTACAACCACTGGAACATGAAGCACCACTCCAACTACAACGCTCCCAAAATTCGCACTTAATTCCATTTCCTCCTTGTCCTCCAAGACCACCTAAAATTTGATTAAAACCATATTAAAACGTTAGAAAGTTAGAAGTACTAGAGCAATAGTCAACTTTTGATATTTTGGTTTGATGACTATGTAAAAAAGAACGCAAACGAGTCTCCGAGAAAACAATGGGTGATCTTGATTTATTCTACACTGAACAAAAATATCTAAAGTTGGCAATTATATAGCGCATTGTATGATTTGCAATTTAAGCTTGATTATCTCTGCTATTACTAAAATTGCCAGCGCCCATACATTTTCTTAATTCTCTAATTACTCTTATTATTCTCATTAACTTGTAATACCAGGAATGCTAAAAAAAAAGATGTTGTTGTCGTTGATGATGATTTAGACAAGTTGAGAGTTTTTAAAAGGCTTTCGAAAGGTCGAAAGGGAATGAATAACATCTTACCGGCTCCACCTTCTCCATTTACAGATGCCTGACCTCCACTTCCACGGCAAGTTTTAATCTCTATTTTTCCTATTATTTTTCTGACGAAAATAGCTTGACGACCTGCATTTCCTCCATTGCCTTTAAAATATATTAATACACTGATGAATCTCTTATGAAGTATAGCTTTCTTGAAAATAGTTTAGAAGCGTACCAAATGACTGTAATATGAGATTTTCTCTATAGATTTTTGATGAACCTCTGTCAGCTTAAAACTTAACAACAGGGACTGTGGATAGTTATACAATAGAATGCGTATGTGATATTGAAAACAAAGCCTTATAGTGACTTGTCAAACAGAGTTTTCTCCGCCTGACAATGAACTTTAAGCAGAGCTTCATGGGATTGACACGTTTAACACAACTATCCAAGATTGCATGATTGCATGAAAATAGTAGGGCCTTCGATGATACCCTGCTTGGAAGGACTACGATTTAGTCATGTATCTCACTAACCTGATCTTCCAGCGTATCCACCCATGCCGCCATTGCCTCCTCTGATCCCCTTTAGGCCATTAACATTATTGCATCTTGTGATTCGGTGCGTAAAATAGTTTCTTCCTGCATTATTTGTGCAGTCAGTTCCTGACCTGCTAGGTTGCTATAACCGAAGAGCCAAAAAATATCAACTATTCCCGTCAACTTCAGTAGTAACTCTCCAAATCTGATAAATCAATAAATATTGTAGAATGATAGCATTGTTACCCTATGTTGGCTGTCGTCTCCTCTTCTTCCTGGTGCACCATTTTGACCTTGGTTTCCATTTCCTCCACTTGAATCAATATTTACGTAGCCTCGTGATAAATCGGTAATAATTTCAACTATGAAGAGAACAAAACATACATTCATCATTCATTTGTATCAGTTGGAGATCAGGTTGGTGTTTCCTTGCACAACTTCTTCCTTTCGAGATTTTTGTGTTCTCCTTTTTGAAAAATCATCATCTCTCCTTCCTGAAGATGGTCCTAGATGCGCCTCTTAGTATATAATATAATTTGACTTAACTTCACCAACAAATGCATGCTTATATCAGTGTTGTATGATAAACAAACCTTTTGATCCGTCAACACCGTGTTTTCCGTCGTTTCCATCTTGCCCAGCGCTTAACGTTGGGTTAGTTTGCGATAGAACAGGAGCTCTGAGGTCCAGTTTACTGTTCTTTAAAAAGATTACTCTCCGACTGAACATCCTTAGCTTACTTATACCGCGCATTTGGACGACTCCCTGCATGTGTAGAACACACGTGATTTACATATGATTACCTTCCACAGCTTCCATCACCACTATCATCGCTTCTAGAACCGTCGCCACCTCCATCATAATGTATCAGACAACCGCTAGCTGCTAGTACCCTTACCACGACCCTAACAATACTGGCCAATACTATCACCACAACCACCGCTGCTGCTGAAGTGGATTTCGTATGACTTCGCATAAACCAGAACACGAAACAAACGACAAGTCAAGGTCACGGAACCTCGTCTAGTAGTTTCGTCAAATCATAATATCGATATAGATTTAGAATACAGTACCGTCACGGCACGGTAAGGTCACGGCCGAATTAAATACCCTTTGTTTTTTCTCGACATTCATAGGTATTGTAGTATTACTTGGAATATTAATATTATAACGTACGCGGACATAGATGCTTTCAGCCAGAACTTCCAGTTCGATGTTGTTAGGACGTATTTGAATGTCTCCAAAATCCACTCCTTCCTTTGTCTTCAGATGTTCTTTAACGTAATCCATGTGAACATTCCGACCCAGTACTTGATAGCGGTCTGTTGAATGTTGCATAGTACACATAAAATCATTAGGGCATACAACGACAAGCCTTTCACAATTCAACAACATGGCGCAATGTAGATAAAGAAAATAAAGAAAAAAGCCCAATAAATTCTATAAAAAGGTATAATATCAGAGCAAATGGTTTTTAATAGATGAGAGATAAATAAAAGTTGTGATTGGGTTCTAAATACTCTTTTTATTGAGCGAAAATAGAAATATTTTCGTGCTTGTTATGCGACATCGAGGTGACAACTGTTACATGTAAACAACTCAGTATCGTCTCGCAAAGAAAATTGATTTCAAAACCCTGAGCTCAAAATTAATAAAAAATCTAATCTTAATAGCCAGAAATATAATCCCGTTTTAAATTTTGGACGAAATACTTTCAATTTGCAAACTCGACGACGCACAGAATCATGCGTGCGTCTTGTGACTTGTGTGATGTAATTGCGTTACACACAGGTAGCCCAAAGTCTATAAATTTTTATCATGATTATCTTAAACTGAACTACATAAAACCACTTAGTTCTCATTTATGAAAATAAGTTTACTGAGATTAGTTGATGCGGTGGTAATATCTTCTTTTTGATTTAAAGAAGAATTTGAAAATCTTGCCGTGCAACAGCGTTAGCCTGGGAACGACAACACGATTGTCAAACACTGAGTTCCATTTCTCGATAACACAATTCATACTCGCTCTCTGTTAGTTTTCATAGTTTAGCATTCATGATTTTGTGCTTCGATGTTTTGATCTATAACTGGAATTGAATGGCACTGTACAGTTTGCAGCATATGCTCAAGGTGCTTGTTGCGCAAGCCAAGACAAGAAGGGTCATATGCGTCTCCCTTGCCAGATGCGGAAAGCCTATGCAGTAGACATCAATGGAAGCAGGCTATTCGATTCACCACTGACGATTTTTGAGATCGCGACAAATATCATCGTATTTCAGCAGAACAGCCTCAAAGCTATAGGAGCCACGCCCAATGACGAGACCAATGCAGCTGAAAACTTTGAGGCAGCAATAGAGGAAGATTTTTACAATTTAGCACGCAACAAAGTCATTGCTCAGTGCGATCTACAACACCCAGTAGTTTACCAAACCTACAACCTGTATACCATGAGTACATCATCCARTGKGCTCAAGAAGTTGACCATCAGAATGCTCACAGCCATATGCGACTAATTTGACATTGACATAAGCATGGTTTCAACGCGCGRATTGAAGCGACCCGATCGTGATTTTAACAGAATATCTCAAATCTTGCTCCTTTGCATCTCATGATTGACATTATCACTTTTGTATTATGTACGTCCCGGGAGCGTTACAGTCTCTGCTGTCTAGAATGGGGATGATCAAATTAAAACTAAATAACAGTAAACCTAAGTTTTCAAAAGTTAGTGTATGCATTTTTTTTTTCATTTTTTTATAGCGTTAATATTATCAAAACATTCTAAACGCTTTACCAGAAAAACAAGAACGATAATAATAATGATATAGTAATGATAATAATAATTAGAAATATAACACCAGCCATTTGCAAGTATCAACTTGCTATATTACCTGACAAAACCAGGATAGTCTAAGAGATACCAGATATCAATAATCAGCTCTATGATCATCCAGGCCCTTCGATATATGGGAGTACCAATACCCCTTCACCGATATACTTACATTAAAGGTTATTTCCAAAGAGTCACGAATACTATACTTTCGGAGAATGTCTTAGTGGCGGATGGGACACAGGTAGAGACACAACAGGAGTTCCGAAAAGTGTCTTCGTAAAAAAAACACGTCTTAGCTCAACTATTACTTATATGATATATGCTAAAAAATACACAGGGCTCTGCAAACACTCAAAATCGGAAAAAAATGTTTGTGCTACCTGTGTGTAACGCAATGACACCAACAAGTGTCAAGAAACAAGCATTATGTGCGTCGTCGAGTTTGCAACTTGAAAGCATTTCGTCCAAAATTTAAAACGGGATTATATTTCTGGCTATTAAGATTAGAATTTTTATTAATTTTGAGCTCAGGGTTTTGAAATCAATTTTCTTTGCGAGACGATACTGAGTTGTTTACATGTAACAATTGTCACCTCGATGTCGCATGACAAGCACGAAAATATTTCTATTTTCGCTCAATAAAAAGAGTATTTAGAACCCAATCACAACTTTTATTTATCTCTCATCGATTAAATACCATTTGCTCTGATATTATACCTTTTTATAGAATTTAACGGCAGAAATAGTGTTTATTATATATATAACGAGACTTTCATAGAGTAAATGGCATAAATAGAAATCTATATGCTATATTTTCACATGTGAAAAAAAGCGATATGCCCAATCAGAAGYGCGTATAGCATTTCTCACACTGTAAAAATATAACCAATCACAACACASAAAAACCGTAATCAGCCAATCAGAAAGCGACGTTCACAACACTGAAATGGCTTCTCTTAGTCACATACYGSGCGTTGATGGCAAAATGGCTGAAGGTGAACTGTGTTTGTTGATCAAAATTCCACATTTGAAGAGTTTATTAGTGGACAGGAAGGCAAACAAACTAAAGCAAAATTAGAAGAGATGTTTTTCTTCAAGAGAATTAAGTTTTTTGMCATCCAGAATGAACACGAAAGCATGGAAAACATCAGYCAAAACTATAAYTTTAACGAACAGAAATTTGTCTCGTTGGTGTTCACCATGAGTTCTGAGGCCGTTTTATACCAAGTTTTGATCGTTTTCTGCAAAATTTAAACTTATCTCCATGCAATATAGAAAAACAGGACTTCAGTAAGACAAGAGATGTACATGTAGGAAAGCAAAGTCAGCTCAAACGAAGACGGAAATTGCAGCGCGTTATCTTACATAAGTACTGACCAAGAGAAGTAGTTTTCACGACGAAGAACTGTTATTTGTTCCTCTACTTACTATAAAATCTCACGAAAACTTGGACGTTCCTGCATCTTAGTGGAAAGTAAGACTATTAATTTAGTTTTTTTTTTTGTATCAAGTTAATTTATTCTTAAGTTTAATTATCTGTGCATTTTTTTCGACATAAGCTCATTGAGTTTGTTTCTTAAAATAGTTGAACAAGCTTATTAAAAAGTATGCCGAATGAAAGTCTCGTTATATATATAATAAACACCTTATAGCATGGAAAGTGCTTTGTACGGCATTTTATTCACTCGTTGTTTGCATCATAAACTCACTCGCTCGTTCCTCGCTCGTTCGTTGTATGATGCAAACAACTCGTGAATAAAATCCCGTACGTCGCACTTTCCATGAAATAAACTCTATATATTGCATGACAGGCGATTCATGAGTAAGATAAAATAACGTGAATATGACCTTTGACTTATTTACTTGTATAATCTTATTTTTGAGTGGCCCCAAAATATTATTGCATCGATCGAAAGAGGAGATGTATCTCTTCAACCTAGTAGTAATTTACGTTCCAGAACACGGTACCAGTAGAGATATATCGAGTTGAACTTGGTTTGTTTTCAACAAGACAAAATATGTCTCGAAAACACCAAACTTCAAAAATCTCTAAAATATTCAAGCGTCAATGAAACGAATGGAATTTTAATAGAAAAGCGCTTCAATGTATCAGATTTCATATATGTAAGGGACGAGATCATAGGATTTTTCAGTAATAAAATATTAGACCACAACTGTAGGCATCATTTAGGTCCAAAAAATGACCCAAAAACGGTCAAATCCAATCTTGCTCCCGTTCTCCGAAAATAAAGATCCAAATTCTTTTTCGACTATTTGGGAATTATAAGTACCCCAAACATGGTGTAATTCGGGAAAGTTTAAAGAATTTTGATTTTTCAATGTTTACCGACGATGTTCGGTTTTTATAGACCAGCTCTCTTAAAGGTGAAAAGGTTTATTAATATGAAAAAAAATTATATCATCTTACTCGATAGAACGCATCCATAAAACTCCGCTCTCATGGAGATATGACCGTTCCATTCGACTGGCTTTATCTGTACATATCGGGCTTTGATTGTTCCTTCCAGGGTATGAGTGACAACAGTGTTCTGATCAGTATTTCCCTCGAAGATCTGAAAACAAAAGGGCAAAATGAATTTCAAGTTATGTGATCTATCCCATATTGCATAGTCTCATGAATAAAAATTCGAATTCGCAATCTCGATAATAACGCTAGCAACGATACCTGCAAAGTAGGCAACATCTTGACAACTAGAGTGTTTGTTAAGTAGCTAGGCACCACTTCAGGTGAAACATTCATAATGTATAATCTTTTATCATATAYAAAGTAACAAAAAAAAATTTCTGCAAACCTTATCGACTCCATTTTCTTGATAAGTTTCGAAAGCAGGCAAAGAACCATCGGGACTATATGTCAGCTTGTACTTTGTTACCCATTGAGGAGCATCTGGTCTACCTTGTGTGGCAAATTTTCTCAGTTTCACGTTTCGAAGAAAATCAACTTGGAGGTATTGGTTTTCGTCATTGGTTGCTGCTGACCAGGAACCAGTCCTTCCTCTTGCCTTTGCGAAATTTAGCCTGCCATTCTCTGGACCGTGGAATTTACTATACGATGAAGAGGTGTCCCTAAGCTGTTGTCTTGTTATTAGACCGCTTTCCATGCCAAGAGGGTCCTGACCTTTGCATTCTAAATAATTGATGTGAACAAATTCAAATAAGACTTATCTTTCGCAGCCCCTGCACTCCTATATAAGTCCTCATAAACTATTCACGAGGTATCTAGTTAATGGTATCTTGGCCGGTTTTCTGTTGCCACTCTATGTTAACAACTAACATCCGTCGAGAATACTTCTTGACACGCAAGTGCTGCAGAACATTCTTAAATGATGTTAAATTTTTGCTTTGGTAGAAAGGTTGAAGGTTTGAACACAAAGGTGGCTACATGAAGTTAATGAACCGTCATTACAGAAAAACATTATTTTCCAATTCACTTTACCTGATGACAATGTCACAAATGATGGTGTCTCGTACCATTTCATAGGAACATCCCTGATATCTTGATTGAACGACTCATTTCCACGTGTCATAGTCACACATGAACCATCATCTACAGCTGTGAAAGAAAGTTCTTTCGTAGTGAAATGAGGTTGAAGAAATATCGAACCATGGCCAGTTATAATTCTAGTTTGTTTTTGTGGTATTGAATGTCTTTTCCAAAGGAATCATCATCCTTCGGCCTCGGTCGAGAGTCCTCCAAAATTTACAAATTTAACTTGTTACGTATAAGAAAATAATACTGCAAACACTTTTCATCGAGCACTTAGGTGAAGGTGTCCTCTTGACACCTCTTCTTTTTCAATGACACCTTTAAATAACCTATTCTTTTTTTCCATCTTCTTAATAAGCATTCAATAAACATTTCGTATATGTTTGGGTTCCTTGTCAAGCAAAATTCAATAAAACTATCAAGGATAGATGCTTCAATTCTAAATGCTTCAAATCAAGTGATTGATCAACCTTATTTAATGAACTTGCCGGCTTTGTTTTTTTAAGCTACACTTCCCGGTCGGTGTTTTTTATCAAGTTTACAATTTCGGAGTGTCTAAACGTCAGGCAGCCTGACGTTAGTAGTCGAATTTTTTCTTAAAAAATCGTCGAAACAACCGTAATTTCAATTAATACAACAAGGGGAATGCAATAAAGACAGATATAATACTTTTCGACAATGCAAGTTTCAAACACAAGCACGGCATTTTGAGATTTTTTGACTGCCTGACGTTTAGTTCCAGAACTAAACGTCAGCCAGTCAAATTTTTGTGTGAAAAATCGTCGGAACAACCGTAATTTCTATCAATACAACAAGGGAAATGCAATAAAGACCGAAATAATACTGCTTGACAAGTTTGTACAGTCACAAGCACGGCATTTTGAGATTTTTTGACTGCCTGGCGTTTAGTCCCAGAACTAAACATCAGGCAGCAATTTTTGTGTGTGAAAAATCGTCGCAAATAACCATAATTTCAATTAATACATCGAGGGAAATGCACTAAAGACGGAAATAATACTGTTCGACAAGTTTCAAACACAAGCACGGCATTTTGAGATGTTTCGACTGCCTGACGTTTCATCATCATCATCTTGTTTCCCGCTAGGCACATGTCTGGCCTTGGGGCGCTCCTGATGGGGGTAGACTAACGTCCATCAGTCGCATGAGTTCTGTTTTTGACATCATCGCTCGTCTGGCTTGAGTCCTATCAACACTTAGCAGTTTTTCARTTCTGAGCCAGATTTTGTTTGGTGTCCTGGTGTCGAATAGGATTTGTTTCTGTATTGCCCAGTTACCGAGTCGGCAGACATGTCCAAGATATTCAATATGTTGTCGTTGGCAGAAGGTGCGGATAGGGAGAGTCTTTGTAATTTCCCTAAGTTTAGCATTTGAGGTTTTAAATCTCCAATCCACCTCGTTGTCATTCTTTGCTTTCTTCTCCTTGCCTGTGGGTGCATTTACGCGCTGGTACCCATCCTTAACCATTCTCCTTAGAAATCCATTCCATATARTCTCGATGGTGTCAAGTTCTTGCTCGGTTAAGGAACAGGTCTGGATGCTATAAAGGAGGCGAGATCGTACACACATCGTCATCGTCATCGTCATCGTCATCTGTTTGCTCGGAAACCAAATTGAGATTGTAATAGGATGTATTCATACGCTTCTCTGATTCTTTCGACAATTATACGAGAAAGAACTTTGGATATGGTGGCTATTATACTGAGCCCTCTGTAGTTCTCTGCCATCGATTTTGGGCCCTTCTTATGTAGGCATGTAATGCTAGCTGTTAACCATTTTGCTGGTACTTGGACGTATGCCCAGATCAAGCCGATGAGTAGTACAATATAGTTGTGTAGACCCGATGACCAAGAGTACTTCAATTGCTCTGCATAGATCTTATCTGTTCCTATACATTTACCGTTC